TCCGTGGTGTGTTGCCTGGGGTAGGGGTGGTCCGCCCTGCCCCGCCCCCCCCCCCCCCTCCACTGACGCTGGTATTGAGCAGTGGGCCCCCAAGCCCACCTCGCCAGGCCATCCGCGTCAAGAGGGTATCCACCTTCTCTGGCCGTTCCCCACCAGCACCTCCCCCCAACAAAACTCCTCGGCTGGATGAAGATGGAGAGTCCTCGGAAGATACCCCCCAAGTTCCAGGGCTTGGTAGCAGTGGGTGAGTGAGTGCTAAACTGGGAACGTGGGCAAGAAAGGTGGACAGAAGGCAGTTCAATATTCTTGGTGTTCTTCTCCATCAGGTTTAGCCGAGTGAGGATGAAAACGCCCACAGTGCGTGGAGTTCTCGACCTGGATAATCCTGGGGAGCCTGCTGGGGAGGAAAGCCCTGGGTGAGTGGCCAGGCCCCTTCATGGGGGTTCTGGAACTTCTGTCCTTTCCCCTCCTGACAGGTTTCTCCTCACAGGCCCCTCCAGGAACGGTCCCCTTTGCTGCCACTTCCAGAAGGTGGTCCTCCCCGGGCCACTGATGGTCCCCCAGACTTGCTGCTTGAGTCCCAGTGGCACCACTATTCAGGTAAGAACTGGCCTTTCCCTCTTAACCCTCTCACCACTTCCTTTCCTCTGCTTGCCTTAGCCAAGCAGCTGAAAGACAATTGATTCACTGTAAAAAAAACAAAACAAAACAAAACATGTACACCTATTGGGTACAAGACTGAGGCTGAGTGCTAGAGTTAAAGAGATGCCCTTGGGGAGCTTATAGCCTTGTAACAGGAACAGACGTGAAGATGACATTTCAGCTCCAGGTGAGAGGTTTTTCTGAAAGTGCTTAGTCCAGCATGCCCAAGCGCCCAGAGGAGGGCTTAGAACCTAGTCCACCAGGGCCAGACAGTTAGATGCCTCATAGTACCAAAGACGAAGTTCTGAGGATCATCCAGAGAAGATGGAGCCCACATGGGGGCCAGAGAGCACGCCAAGCCTGTAGGGTCAAGGATTAGGGTAGTGTGAGCAGGTGGTACGGAGTGGGACGCATGTTGTGTCAGAGTCCAGAATTGAAGGTGAGGAAGCCAAAACAATGCCCAGGAAACCCCCCACCCCACCCCAAAATCCAGCTAAGGCTCAGGAGGAGGCTGTGGGGCAGCCATTTAGAAATGTTTTGACGTGAGAGCTGCAGCAGCAAAACCAGGTGTGAAGAGAAGGGTGGTTCTGTTTGGAAAAGGAGGAGGGAGGGGGTGGTGATTGGTTTTGAACAAGTTACCCGAAGATGAGGATAGAAGGTGAGGTAGGTGTGTATTAGTACACAGGGGTGAAGTGCTTGGAGTAGTTTTGGCTGGTGGGCTCGAGCTGGAGCTCTCTGCTGACCATGGAGGGCAGTGGGGAGATTGAGTGGGCTTTGGCTGATAGTTAAGCATCCTGAGGCTTGGAATTTGTTATGGCCCAATCCTGTCCAGCTGTTTGGATTTTCTCATTGCATAGAGCGAGCTTAGCTGCTGAGCGTGGAAGTGGAGCAAGAGGCTGCTACCGGGATCAGAGATGGCGTGAGGATATGGCATGGCCATGACAGACAGGTCCTGCCCTTAGGAACTGTACCACTGTTTGGTAACAGGCACAGACACAGGTATTAGCAAGTGCACTGCAGAATAGGATGAGCACTGTGCAAAAGAAAGCAGTGCAGGCCAGCCGATGGCTTGGTGGTTAAACCAGCTAGCTCCAACTGTGTGGTTCGAGTCCCAGGCTCAGCAGTTTGAAAAATACTGGGCATGTGTATGTGCGTGCCAGCTGCACAGTTCAAGTCCCAGGCCCAGCAACTTGAAAAACTTGATGGGTACATGTGTGAGCATGCCCAAAATCCCAAAAGGAGAAATGGAGTAGGAATTGGAGTATGATCATCCACCATAGTGGGTGCCTTCTCACTTTCTCTGTCTCTGGTGAGCACATGCATTCTCTAGCAATTAAATAAATAAATAAAGGACCAGCAGAGCAGATGGCATAACAGTTACATTGCTGGACTCCCACATGGCCTACCACAGTTTGAGTCCTGGACCTGGTGGCTTCAAACTAAGCCAGGTACTTGTGTGTGCATGCCCAAAATCCCAAGGAGGAGAATGGAGGAGATGGGGTTGTGGCATGGCCATCCCCCCTGGGGGGTGATTTCTCTCTTTCTGTCTCTCCAGCAAGCGCACATTTTGTTTTTTGAGCAAAAGTCTCTCTGGAAAAAAAGAAAGGAGCAGTGTACCTGGGCAAGGCCCTTGTAGCGAGTCCCGTTATGCTCAGGGAAACAGTGAAGGTGAGGATGACGAGAGGGGTAAAGGAGGAGATGGGAGGAGTTGTGAGACATAGACCCTGGGACACAGAATCTAGGAGGTGGTGAGAGTCACGTAGCAGGAGTCCAGTTCCATATCTCACTTAGGTCTGCGGAGGCTGTATGGGCAGGTTGGCCCAGAGAAGTGGTATGGGGAGAGAGAGAGTTGCCATGAGTCCTGCCATTCCACTCAGACTTTTGTGCACTCCTCTCCCCAGATACAGTGGTCAGACCTCAGTTTGCATCCTGCGTTTGGTGCAGCTGATCCCTCCCTGGGAACAGTTTCTTCCCCTGTTTCCTGGACCCCATGGACTCTTCTTACCTACCAGTCATGCCTCCTCATTGTCCCAACCTTTTAATTTTGGTTTGCTTCAGGGCTTTCATTTTTCTGTCTCTATTCTCTCCCAGATATTCTCATCTAGTTTCATGGCTATGAGTCCCATCTGTATTTTTTTGTTTGTTTGTTTTTGTTTTTTTGCTATAGGGTGCATGCGCTTGCCAGAAAGACAGAGACAGAAAGCGAGAAATCAGTCCCCAAGGGGGGATGGCTACGCCGCAATCCCTTCTCCCTTCTCTTCTTGGGATCTTGGGCACACACGCACATGCCCCCCGCGTGAGTTTAAGCCTCCAGGTCCAGGACTCGAACTGTGGTCGACTACATGGGAGTCCAGCGATATAGCCATTATGCCAACTGCTGGTCCCAGTCCCATCTGTATTCTGATAGTCCCCAAATTGCTCTCTCATTCCTAGACCTCGTCTCTGAGCTCTAGGTTCCTATATCCTGATGCCTCCTTGCCGTCTCCAGCAACAAATTGTGAGGGGGTCAGCAGGGGAGTGTCTCTACAGTCTCCTGAGCACTCAGCCTTTACCCGAAACTCCTTTAACCTCAGCTGCCTCAGCAACTGGTAGTTTATCCTAGTTATTTAGGCCTCGTCTCCAAAGTTGTCCTTGATGCCCCCACCTTCTGTCACATCTGTATCTACTACATCAGCAAGTCCCATCTGCTGTTCACCTCTGAGAATGTCCTTAAATAGCTCATAACACACAATCTGCTTGCTACCATGTATATGGCTATAGGGTGCATGCGCTTGCCAGAAAGACAGAGACAGAAAGCGAGAAATCAGTCCCCAAGGGGGGATGGCTACGCCGCAATCCCTTCTCCCTTCTCTTCTTGGGATCTTGGGCACACACGCACATGCCCCCCGCGTGAGTTTAAGCCTCCAGGTCCAGGACTCGAACTGTGGTCGACTACATGGGAGTCCAGCGATATAGCCATTATGCCAACTGCTGGTCCCAGTCCCATCTGTATTCTGATAGTCCCCAAATTGCTCTCTCATTCCTAGACCTCGTCTCTGAGCTCTAGGTTCCTATATCCTGATGCCTCCTTGCCGTCTCCAGCAACAAATTGTGAGGGGGTCAGCAGGGGAGTGTCTCTACAGTCTCCTGAGCACTCAGCCTTTACCCGAAACTCCTTTAACCTCAGCTGCCTCAGCAACTGGTAGTTTATCCTAGTTATTTAGGCCTCGTCTCCAAAGTTGTCCTTGATGCCCCCACCTTCTGTCACATCTGTATCTACTACATCAGCAAGTCCCATCTGCTGTTCACCTCTGAGAATGTCCTTAAATAGCTCATAACACACAATCTGCTTGCTACCATGTATATGAGCTTATATTTGCTGTATTTATAGAAATATTGTGCATGTGGTAAAAGTATACAGACAGTGCTAGCCCCATAGTGCAGCTAGTAAATGCCACACATAGGAAGCAGTATTCTACATGGTAACCATGATTCAAATCTCAGCCTTAGCCAATTTTGTTGTTGCTTTGTTTTGAGAGATTTTTGCTATAGGGTATGTGCACTTGCTGGAGAGAGAGACAGAAAGCGAGAAATCACCCCCCAGGGGGATGGCAATGCTGCAATCCCTTCTCTGTTCTCCTCTTGGGATTTTGGGCAGACATACACATGCGCCCAGTATGAACTTTAAGCCACCAGGTCTGGGACTCAAATTATGGTAGACTATATGAGAGTCCAGTGACATAACAATTACACCATCTGCTGGTCTCAATTAATTATTATTACTATTTTTTTTGGGGGGGGAGGTTTTTGCTATAGGGCGCATGTGCTTGACAGACAGAGACAGGGAGATAGAAAGTGAGAAATCACCCCCCAGGGGGGATGGCCACACCACAATCCTTTCTCCTCCATTTTCTCGGGATCTTGGGCATGCACACACACACACACCCGGCATGAGTTTAAGCCACTGGGTCCGGGACTCAAACCGCGGTTCACTACGTGGGAGTCCAGTGACATAGCCATTACGCTAACTGCTGGTCCCCCAATTAATTAATGTTATTTTTTAAAAATATTTAATTTTATTCATTCATTTCTTTTAATTTAACTAGAGAGAGAGAGTGGGAAAGTGAGAAAGCAAGCCACCAGGTCCAGGACTTGAACCATGACTGGCCGTGTGGGAGTGTCCAGTATCTTAAACACCACTCCACCTGCTGGCCCCGCAATTAATTATTATTTTTTAAAAAAAATTTTTTTAGAGATGTTTGCTTTAGGGCTTGGGTGCTTACCGGAGAGACAGAAATTGAGAAATCACCTCCCTAGGGGGAAGGCCATATCACAATCCTTTCTCCACGGTTCTCCTCTCAGGATTTTGGGCATGCATGCACACATGCCTGGCTCACACACACATGCCTGGTGTAAGTTTGGGTTTTTCTGAGAAGTTTTTGTTATAGGACGCGTGCGCTTGCCAGAAAGAGACAGAAAGTGAGAAATAACCCCCGGTGGGGGTGGCCATGCCACAGTCCCTTCTCCATTCTCTTGAGATGTTGGGTATGCATGCACACGTGCCTGGCATGAGTTTTAAGCCACTGGGTCTGGGACTCAAATCGTGGTCAACTACATGGGAGTCCAGCGACATAGCCATTATGCAAACTGCTGGTCCCATGCCTGGCGTGAGTTTTAAGCCACCAGGTCTGGGACTCGAACCATGGTCGACTATGGGGAATCCAGCAATGTAACCATTATGCCATCTGCTGGCCCCTAATTAATTAATTATTTTTTAGAATTATTTTATTTATTATTATTATTTGTTTTAATTTGACCAGAGAAAGTGCGAAAGCAAGCTGCCAGGTCTGAGACTCGAACTGCTGTCAGCGTGTGGGAGTCCAGCATCTTTAACCACCATGCCACCTGCTGGCCTCTAACTAATTCTTTAAAAAAATAAATGCATGGGCAGGCCAGCCTGTTGCATGGTGATTAGGCACTGTATCCCATATGGCTGCCTGCATGGTTTGAGTCCTGGACCTGAAGGCTTGAGAAATATGCCTGGTGTGTCCCCAGATTCTGAGAGAAGAAGGGATTACAATATGGCCATCCTTCCTGGGGATGATTTCTCATTTTTCTCTCTGTTGCTCTCTGGCAAGCACATGTGCCCTCTAGCACATTAAAACACACACAGAGCAAAACACTTTCAGTATTTTTAATTTTGTATTTTTAATTTGTGTGAGAATAATGATTGGTAGATGGGTGTTTATAGTACATTAGATTTGAATGAGCCATAGGTATATCCTGCAAAGCCAAAACTTGCCAGCCTCTGGAACTACTCTTTTGGCTGAGAAGTCCTGCAGGAGAGGAATCCTTAGAAAAAAGTAACACCCATCCTGTAGGGCTCACTGGACAACTGGAGCAGGAGGCAGGCATCAGGCCCTAGTATCTCTGCTTGTGCTTTGGGGGAAGAGAGAGCGGTTATCTGCTGGGAGGACAGTGGGGAGCCACGAGCTTTTGAATCCAGAAAGGATGATCCTCACCTACTGTCATCTACTCCTTGGGGGACCAGGTGAGGCTTCAAGTTCTGAGGAAGAGCCTCCATCCCCAGAGGACAAAGAGAACCAGGCCCCCAAGCGGTCTGGCCCACATCTGCGCTTCGAGATCAGCAGTGAGGACGGATTCAGTGTGGAGGCAGAGAGCTTGGAAGGTGAGTTGGTTGTAGCAGTGGCAAGGAGGGGAATGTCTCGTAAAACATCATCCTGACTTGACTCTGACCTTGCCCTCTCTCCAGGGGCATGGAGAACTCTGATTGAGAAGGTGCAGGAGGCCCGAGGACATGCCCGGCTCAGACATCTCTCCTTCAGCGGTAGGTGGTGGGCCCACAAGGATGCGGAGGGCTGGGATGACTGTGAGGGCAAGATGAACCCTTCACATGACCACTGTGTCCTCAACTTTCCTCCTCAGGGATGAGCGGGGCAAGGCTCCTAGGCATCCATCATGATGCCGTCATCTTCCTGGCAGAGCAGCTACCTGGGGCCCAGCGCTGCCAGCACTATAAGTTCCGCTACCACCAGCAGGGAGAGGGCCAGGAGGAACCACCCCTGAATCCCCATGGGGCCGCCCGGGCTGAGGTCTATCTCCGGTGAGAGTTCTGGAGTGTGATGCTTGGGTTGGGGATCTATGGAAGATCTCAAGGACAGTTATTAAATCTGTATAGATTGGAAACTGAGACTTGGGGAGGAGACACTAGGCCATACCAAGAGTTATTTCTAGAGTTCACATCAGAACTCAACCTGTTTCCCTTTCCTGTGTCTTCAATAATACATTTCTCCTACCCTGTCGGCAGTGAGCCCAGGCCAGAGAAAGGGTAGGCAGCATCTCCACAAAGGAATGACTTTGAACCTCCTTCCTTCCCTCCCTCCCTGCTGCAGGAAGTGTACCTTTGACATGTTCAACTTCCTGGCCTCTCAGCACCGGGTACTCCCTGAGGGGGCCACCTGTGATGAGGAAGAGGATGAGGTGCAGCTCAGGTCAACCAGGTCTGGAGAACAAACGGGTGTTGGGGGTAGTCTGGAAGGGTTCTAAAGAGTGACCAAGGTGGAAAGACATCATTCCTGGGTACGAATTTATGACATTGCTGTCGCCACCAGACGTGCCACCAGCCTAGAACTGCCTATGGCCATGCGCTTTCGCCACCTCAAGAAAACATCCAAAGAGGCTGTTGGTGTTTACAGGTTAGTGGGGTTGGGGGGGGTTGAAGGATGCCCCTTGGGTGGATGGACAGGGCCCTGGATGGGATGCTTCCTGGCTTCTGCCCCCCTGCCCCCTGAATTTTCTCCTCTGTCCATCCAACTCTGCAGATCAGCCATCCATGGGCGAGGCCTGTTCTGTAAGCGCAACATCGATGCTGGTGAGATGGTCATCGAGTACTCGGGTATCGTCATTCGCTCTGTGCTGACTGACAAGCGGGAGAAGTTCTACGATGGGAAGGTGGGCTACACAAGGTCGATGAGGTAGATGAAGCAGGTGGCCCATGGGGACAGAGCGCCTGATTGCCTCCTCTCTCCCCATAGGGCATTGGGTGCTACATGTTCCGCATGGATGACTTTGATGTGGTGGATGCCACGATGCACGGCAATGCTGCCCGCTTCATCAACCACTCATGTGAGCCCAACTGCTTCTCCCGGGTCATCCACGTGGAAGGCCAAAAACATATTGTCATCTTCGCCCTGCGCCGCATCCTGCGTGGTGAGGAGCTCACCTACGACTACAAGTTCCCCATTGAGGATGCCAGCAACAAGCTGCCCTGCAATTGTGGCGCCAAGCGTTGCCGTCGGTTCCTAAACTGAGGCCGTAGCTGCCCCCCAACAATCCATCCCCTCCCCCCGCTGCCATCTTGCCCATAGCCTGGGGGCTCCCTAGTTCCTCGCAGAGTGTCTCACTCCAACCCTCATGTTCAGGGTGGATGTGGGCATGCAGGTGGCAAGGGCCCTGCCTCTTCCCCTCCAGCCCACCCAGCAATCGCCCCCTTCCTGACCTGGGGGCCCAGGATGTAGATATTGTACAAAAGTTTCTAAATCCCTTCTTTTCTATGCACTTTTTTATTTAAGAGGGTGGGGTCCCAGGTGGGAACCCCCCACAATAAAGTCTGTCAATGTTTGGAGAGATGGTCTTCCTATCTGTATGGTGCTGGGGGGCAGGTAGGACCTTCCTCTTCTCACCTCATACCCATCCTGAGCCAAGTAAGTCTGTCAGCTTCAACAAGTAGTTGAGGCCATTAGAAGTGAGTTTGATGGGAACCAGCAGTTAGCGTAATGGCTATGTCGTTGGACTCCCACATAGTCGACTGCGGTTCGCATCCTGGACCCGGTGGCTTAAAACTCACGCCGGGCTCGTGTGCATGCCCAAGATCCCGAGAGGAGAATGGAGGAGAAGGGATTGCGGCGTGACTATCCCCCCTGGGGGGTGATTTCTCGCTTTCTGTCTCTATGTCTCTCTCTGGCGAGTGCACGCGCCCTATAGCAAAAAAAAAAAAAAAAAAGTGAGTTTGAGATCTGTTAAGGCTTCAGAGCACTCACTACACATCCTGCACATTTTAACTTGGGACACATGTAGGTGAGCTATCCCAGCGATAGCAGGGCTGTTTCTCGGAGGGGTTGCTGGTTGCCCAGAGGTACCTGGGGTCAGCTCTCCCATTTGTCGTGTATGTTGGAATGGGCTGCCCTTTTGGGGGAGGGGAATTCAGTTATCTGTTGGGTCTTGGCCTACTTAGGATTATACTTCCAAGAAGGCCTCAGTGAGGACCAGTGACAGCAGGCATTTATTTCCGGGGAGACTTTATTGAGTCTTAGACCTGGCAAGTCAGGCAAGCTTGGACAGCACCTGAAGTGCATCTGCCCGCCCTATTTGGGCCAGATATGCTCCAAACTGGCCTAGAGAAGCAGAGGGCTCCCTTGCCACCACCATCTCAATCAGGGCCTGCAGTGGTGAGCGACTGGGCCGCAGTGAGTAGGCAAAAGTGGACCAGGCAGCAGGCAGCCCATACCTCGCAGCCAGGTGTCGAGTGGTGCCACAGGCCATGCCCCCTCCCGGGCCAGGCTCAGGGTCTAGCAGCACAATCAGCTCCTCCAGCACCTCCAGTTCATCCAGAAGGCGGGACAGAGGCTGTGACTCAAGGCTTGGCAGCTCTGTGGGATGGAGGGAGAGTAAAAGGAGGAAGAGGGGGTTTCCCATCCACCTTCCACAACCTGGGCTCCTCCCCAGCTAACCTCGACATAGGAGTGGAAGCAGCGAGACCTTCCATGAGTTCCCAATCTCCGATGCCTCCAGGGCACCTTGGGAGCTGTGAGTGTCGGGGCCTCTACAAACGAAGGCAGGATAAGGGAGGGTGACAGCGTTCCCCTTGGGCCGGCAGCCGTGCCTCCACAGGATAAGTAAGATCACCGTCAAGGTGACCAGCAGGACCAGTACCACAAGCAAGGCCTGCAGAAGCACATTATGTTCAGGTGTCCTCGAGAAACTCGCTGGTGAGCTGGGCTCCGGGGAGCTAGAGAAGCTCGTTTTTCCAGTTGTCAGAGGACAGGACTCCTTGGTGGGGACCGGCCTCTGGGAATAGGGGTTTGGAGTAAAGAGGGAGGCCATACCCTACTTCTCTATAACGCAAACCTCAGTCCACCTCCCACCTCTGCCCCTCTACCTTAACCCAGTCCCTCCTCGAGTACTGTGGCCTCGCCCCTCCTCTTCGATAGGGCTACAGACCCTATCAAGACCCATACTCGGCCCATCTGACCCCAAGCCACGCCCCACGCCCCCTCCCTACGTCTGGCAAGCCTTTACCCAGGCCGTCGGGAGTCGGACTATTACCTCGCTGCAGCGCCTCAGGGTTCTGCCAAGGCTTCCGGCGGGAATGGGAGCCGTGACTCTGCTGTTGCAAGGGCTACACAGCTCCGCGCCATCGGGGTTGCACTGCCCGGGAGAACACTCTTTGTACGGGTACGTTAAGAGATCGCCGGAATCATTGAGCCCACAGTTTTCCACGAACTCGTAGTCTAGGGGAAAGACAGCCTCCAGTCCCGCTTCCTCTGCACTAGCGACGCCCCTTACCCTTTTCCCTAGCCCAGTAGACCCACCCACTCAAGGCTACTCACCCAACCAGTGCTCGGTCCCCTCTGCCTCTCCACACAGGCCCCGCCCCCTTCCCCGACCCAAAGCTGGTCTTGATCCTTTCATTCCAGTTACCCGTCCCTTGCACCGCCAACACCTGGCTTAGTCTACGCACAGCCCACCATCCCTCCTAAAATGTCACATCCCTTCGTTACACTGTCGCAATGCACAGTCCCCTTCCGTACCGGCTCAGTCCACCATCCCTGTCTTATCTGCGTAAAGCCTACCGCCTGGGCCCCTAACCAAGCCTCAGTGGCGGTTACCCACAGACTTCGCCCAGTTCCCCACTGCCTATCACTGCCTTGCTCCGCCCGGATTTATGTATAACCCGGTCCCTCCTCACCAGGGCAGGGGGGTGGGCCGAAGCGCTGCAGGCAGCTGCTGCAGCACTTGTTGTCTAGGTTCCAGTATTCAAGGCGGCCGCAGTACCTGGAGGCTTCCGGGGGTGCTGCCTGACCCAGAAGCAGCACCGCTGTGAGGAGGCAGCCTCCGGGTCCCATCCGGTCAGGGCCTGCAGCCTGGGGTGGGGGTGGGGGGTTGACAACAGGCACTTCCAACTACAGCACCTCTATTGCAATTTTCAGGAAAACCAGTCAGAAAAGGTAGCAGAGGATATATACAGGCACGGAGTTCTCAGGTCCCTTTGACAGCCAAGAGTCTACCTTCCAGTCTATTATCAAGAGAGGCCCACAAGGCCTCAAGGTGGGTAAGAGGACCTAAATTGTGTGAATTCACATCCCAAAGCTGCCCTCCTTTTTTCATCCCTAAAATGTGATAGCAATAGTACCTGTTTAATGACCTAATTGGAGGATTAGAGCTATTACAAGAAAAGCACCCTTCGAACAGCACCTGGCTTACGGCAAAATCAATTTAAGTGTTAGGTGTTAGCAACCCACATCTCAGGGCAGCAGCATTAAGGACCCAGCCCTCACTCACTGGAGACTCCCTCTCAACTCCCAGGCACCTCACCTTTGCTCCTAATCTCCCCACTAGAAATCCTCCAACCTGCCCTAACCAGGTGTCACCCCCTTGAAGAAACCTCAGATCTGAGTGCCTAGGTTTCCAGCAAAGGCATCCCGGCCCCTGCAGTGCCATTAGAGTCCCAAGCCCCAAGCCTGCTACTTCCCCACCTGTGGTCTGAAGTTCCTCAGCCGAAGTTGTGGCCGGAGCCTAGACCTGACTTCCGTTTTTATCAGATGTGGGTGAAAGGAAACTTCAGCCCACACCAGGCTCAACAAAGATCTAATCGTCACTATGGACCTTTACAAGAGGAGGGGCAATTGGGGAAGTTCCCTGTGTTGAATAGATTACACTGTGGAGCCCCAGAGCCTGGGGAAAATGGGGCTGCAAAGTGAAGGGGGCTTTGGGGAGGGGTCCTGGCCAGGAATATCTGTGCCCGTCAAGGGTTGAGGACAGGAAGCCAGAGTTTCAGAAGCGGCCATGCTGGTAGTCTGGGAAATGCCACCGGTTCTGTCTCAGGGACAGTGGCCAGGATGAGACATTGGGGGTGACCTGAAGACCTGAGGGGAGAATTGAGTTAGAGCTGTGAGCAGTGTTGCAAAGATCCCCAGGCCCGCTTCTCTGCTCTGGGACCAGGCACAGCAAATGTTGAAATAACTAGAGTTAACAGGAGGTGGTCTCAAGACAGGTACTCAGGGGCCAAGAGAGAGTTAGAGAACCAGGCTGGTCTTGGATTTGGAACTCAGGCTGCCTTTGGGGGTGAGATTTAAGTGCTGGTCTCCAGATGGGGCTCAAGACTATCCTTAGGCTATGAGTGTCTTGGGACACCGTAACCAGAGTGTAAGATTAGGCTCATCTCAGGTAAACAGGTCTTAGGATATGACCTATCTTGGCAGACTAGTCCCAAAGTACCTGCCCTTGGGTCCCTGACCATAGAGCTGCCCCCAGAAGTTCCTGGGAATTGGTTGCAAGTGCATGTAGTTGCGGAAGCTGCCATGGGAATATTACCTGGGTAGAAAACAAATGGAAGAAAGAGGCTGTTGTCACTGACAATCCCTTACCTCACATTCAAGAGTCTGGGACTTCAGGTACCCACTTCACCCTTGTACTACCATACCCCATCTCGTATTGCCAACAGCATGACTCCCTGAAGTCAGTGGCAGGAGATAGCTCAGCATGCACAGCCACAGCGTCTACTGAGTTTGTCCACTGCCTGCTCTGCATCTTCCTCCTGCTGGAACTGGGGAGGAAGTCAGTCAGGGTCAGCAGCTGGAGATCTTCAGGGGACTGACTAATTAGCAGCTCTAGATCTGGACTGGATTTAGTGGTGGACTTCAAGTTGTGAAGCTTCAGTAGTGGCCATTAGGCACTGAAATGCCTCCACCTCAGCTGTAAGGAGGGGACAGCAAGCACCTTGACATAGACATTGCCCACGAGAAGATCCCCCAGGTTGTCACACACATTCATTTCTTCAATCTCCTCATAATTCTCTGCACTTCTGTGAATATCTCCTGTGGAAGAAGGGGAAGAACTCAGTTGAGCTGGTCCACAAGATACCCAACCTCCTCTTGCCCATCCTCACCTCAAAGAAGTTATCATAGTGTTCTTGTGCCTCCACGTTGCTCACGCGAGAAGGGTGAATTCAGAAGGTGGCCTGCTGAGAGCTGTCCACCCTGCCTCCACGCCTGGTCCCTTACAGTGTGATCCGGCCGTCGTTTGAGCTGTGTTCTGTGGATTTCTGTATAGGGGGAGCAGCACTATGGACCGAAGAGAATTTCAAAGGGGCCGGCCTGAGTTCAAGGGGCGGGGCCTGAGCCGGAGGGCAGGGCCGCATGCAAAGACCAGGGTGTGAAGACTGCGGGGAAACTTGCACCAGAGAAGGAACCTAAGCATTATGAGTGCACTGGTGATGCTTGCCCCTAAGAAGCTAGAAGAGGGAGGTAGGGGGAGACACAGCAATGATGGGCAACCTAGGGGTGGAATAGGTACATTCGAGATGCGGCCAGGTACCTTGACCGGGAAAGGCCAGCAGGTTGGGGGAGGAACCTGCGGAGGTCAGATGAGGCCTGCGATAGGTGGGCCTTAGAAACCGGAAAAGGCGGGACCTCGTGAAGATGAACAACAGAAGTGGAAGAACCGGGAGGCGTTAACCCGTGGGACTCTGTACCCGGTCCCTGGCTGAAAGTCAGTTTGTTGAAAAGCCGGGAGCATCGGTTCCCTTGCCGGTTGGCCTCTATCTTAAAAAGAGCAATTTATCCTGGAAGAGGTGCAAAGACAGAGGAGAACCGAGGGCCGGGGAGGCCAGATTCCCTAGAAACACCGCCCCGAACCGTGCAGTCAACAAGGGCCCAAGTGACGCGGTCCTGGTCCCCGAGAGAACGCTCCCCGCTCCCGTTCTCACTTGTCCTCAATCCCTAATAACGAAGACATTCAGCCATTTTTACCCGAACCCTCCAGCTCTGCTCCTTACGTCACTTCCGTTGCATAGGAGCGTTGGGAGGTGTAGTTCGCGGCTGCCTTGAGGCGCTCATCCCCGATCAGAAACTCAAGTGGTCCAGTGTGTTGGAGACCTACGGCTTTCAAATCACCCACAGGCGGTCTCTGACAGCGCATGCGTAAAGCCTTGCCTCCGAAAGACTACAGGTCCCAGAGACCCTTGCGGCATCTCGCGCGAACATCCCTAGTTGAAAGTAGCAAAGGCCGGAGGAAGTAAGCTCCAGTGGTGAGTTGGGGTCGTTTCCCGCACTCAGTAAACATAAAGAGCTTTTCAACCCAACCGCCTTGCTGGCAGAGGTGGACTTGTCCATTTTTCAGTAAACCTGCCCATAAATTTACCTGATTTGTCGTGTCGTAATAGGGGCGTGGTTGTTCGTGCTCCTTCTGTCATTTACGGACAAGGCTCGGGGCTTGCCCGGCGGGCCCTTGGGACGACCTGGTCCCAGCGCAACTATGAACTTGGAGCGGGTGTCCAATGAGGAGAAGTTGAATCTGTGCCGGAAGTACTACCTGGGTAAGGGCCGATCCCCTAGGGTATCCGGAGAAGAGTGGGGACTGAATCAGAGCACCTGCGGGAAGAGGGCCCAGAGGCCTGGGTTCGTGGGTCTACGAGTTGAAGCAGCCAGGAACGCCGGCTCCGGGGTCTGAGGGAAGGGGGAAGGCGGGTCCTGACAAAGGAGCACTTCAACTTCTGGGTACCGAGAAAGGGGGGAGGATGGAGAAAGAAGAGCCTTTCTCGGGACTCCTGCCTTTCTCAGTCTTAAGTGGGTAGAGACCCCCCCAGGAAGGAGCCAGGATTCCTGAGCTCCTGACAGCAGACGTCTCCACTTGAACTTGGGTATGAGAGATGACATTGAAACAGATCTAAATGGGCTTGGGGAAGATCCTCATGTGTGTTTTTCTCCCTAGGTGGGTTCGCTTTCCTGCCTTTTCTCTGGTTGGTCAACATTTTCTGGTTCTTCCGAGAGGCCTTCCTTGTCCCGGCTTACACAGAGCAGAGCCAAATCAAAGGCTGTGAGTCTAGGGTGTAGATTAAGGGAGGCTATCCAGTGGGAGACGGGGAAGCTGGGAGTCTCGGTGGAAGGGGATGATGGAGACTCCAAAATTCTGTGGCTCTGTGGGAGAGAAGAAAGGACTAGTCCAGGGGAGTCCAGATAGTAGCCAGAGGCCAACCCCCACCCCCACTCCTGTTCCCCGTTACAGATGTCTGGCGGTCAGCTGTGGGCTTCCTCTTCTGGGTGATTGTGCTCACCACTTGGATCACCATCTTCCAGATCTACCGGCCCCGCTGGGGCGCCCTTGGGGACTACCTATCCTTCACCATACCCCTGGGTACGCCCTGACAACTTCTGCACTGGCTGGGGACCTGCTCATTCTCCCAGGATGGGCTCCCCTGCTTTAAACTCTTTCTCAAGACTTGTTCCCACTTCCCATGTTCTCTGCTGACATCCCTAATAAAGGACCCTAACTTTCAGTACTGGCCTCCTGAGATCTTTTGGAGATGGAAACATGAAGTTATTAGTAATTTTCTTTTTTATTTTTTTTTGAGAGATTTTCACTGTAGGGCGCGTGCGCTCGCCAGACAGACAGAGAGAGACATAGAGACAGAAAGCGAGAAATCACCCCCCAGGGGGGATGGTCACGCCGCAATCCCTTCTCCTCCATTCTCCTCTTGGGATCTTGGGCACGCACGCACACGCGCCCGGCGTGAGTTCTAAGCCACCGGGTCCGGGACACGAACTGCGGTCGACTACGTGGGAGTCCAGCGACATAGCCATTACGCTAACTGCTGGTTCCCAATTAGTAATTTTCAAAAACATTCATTGTGCGGCTTACTTTGTGCCAGGCTTAGTGCTTCACATATTATGTGCACTTTTTTTTTTTTTTGAGAGGTAGTTGCTATAGGACGTGTGTGCTCACCAGAAAGACAGAGCGAGAGAGAGAAAGAAATCACCCCCACAATCCTTTCTCTTCCATTCTCCTCTCAGGATCTTGGGCACGCACGCACTCATGCCCAGTGTGAGTCTCAGCCACCAGTTCCAAGACTCGAACCGCAGTTGACTACATGGGAGTCCAGCGACGTAGCCATTACGCCAACTGCATTATGTGCATTTTTTTTAAAATTATTTTAAATTTTATTTATTCATTTACTTATTTTATTTTGACCAGAGAGACACATAGAGAGAGAGAGAGAGAAAGAGAGAAAAGCCACCAGGTCCAGGACTTGAACCATGGTTGGCCACATGGGAATGTTCAGCACCTTAACCACCACGTCACCTGCTGGTCCCTTATGTGCATTTTTTAAAAACATTATTGTATTTAACTTTATTACTATTATTTTAATATTTCCAGTGAAATACACAGAGAGTGTGAGAGGGAAAGTCAAGAAAGAAAGCCTCCAGGTCTGGGACTCGAACCGTGGCTGGTCACGTGGGAGTCCAGTGCCCTTAACCACCATGCCTCCTGCTGGCCCCAACCTTTTCTTTTTTTCCCCACAGAATACTATTCATCACCCTCTGAACTAGGAACTTGCCTGCTTAAGAATCCTATTCACAGATCAGGAACCAAGAAAGGAATAGTGCTGCTTTTTCTAGGGGTTACTATCTTGTATTGGTAGTTGTGAATTTAAAAACATGACTTTCCTCCTCTGGGCCTTAGTATTCTCATAAGTGCAGATCACCATAATACCTCATCAGATTTATCTGGGCAAAGATGTATGTGGTAAATGGAAGTTTCTCCTCTGAAGGAGATGTTGTCTACAGTAATAGAATATTTTTTTCCAGTTGGATTTTTGCTGTAAGATTTTTGCGTGTGATCCGAGACAGAAAGTGAGAAATCACCACCTAGGGGGGATGGCCACACCGCAACACCTTTTCCTGCATTCTCTATATGGGCTTTTGGGCACATAGATGCATGTGTCTGGTGTGAGTTTTAAGCCAGTGGTTCCAGGACTCAAACCACAGTCAACTATGTGAGAATTCAGCAACCGTAACCATTACGCCATCTGCTTGTCCCAATAATAGAAATATTAAGAGCTTTTTCAGAGGTGCCCTCTTCGAAAGATCTTATTTAAAATTTCAATCTCAGGGCCAGCAGTGATATGGTGGTTAAGGTGGTTGGATTCCCGTTGGCCAGCTGCATGGTTCAAGTCCCAACCCCAGCAACTTGAAAGTATAGTTAGTGCTTGTGTGTACATGCCCAAAATCTCCAAAGAAGTGGAGGAGAAGGGATTGCACTGTGACTGCCCCCCATGCCAGGGAGTGGGGGAGTTGCTGTCTGACTAGAATGCATGCTCCCTCTAGCAACTCTAGCGAATTGTTTTTTTGTTGTTGTTATTGTTTTGGTTTTTTGTTTTTGTTTTTTCAAAAAACTAGAGGCTAGCAGGTGGCATGGTGGGTAAGGTACTTGATCCCACATGACTGACTCCACAGTTTGAGTCTTGGACCTGACAGCATGAAGAACACTTCAGTTGCATGTGCATGTGTACCCCAAATCCCAAGAATGGAGGAGAAGGGCTTGTGATATGGCTCTCTCCTTTGGGGGTGATTTCTCACTTTTGCTCTGTCTCTCTGGTGAGTGCATGTGCCCTATGGCAGAAATCTTAAAAAATAATAGTAATAAAAATCAGTATGCTTAACCCTGTGGCCTGGTGGTTAAGGGGTCCAGATCCCATGTAGCAGAGTTTGAATTCCAAATTCCGGTGGCCTGAAAAAACATTCCAGGTGTGTGTTCATACCCCAAATCCCTGAAGTATGGGGGAGAGCAGATTGTAGCATGACCACACACCATTGGGGCAGGTAAGTTCTCCCCTTCCCTGTCTGTTCCTCTCTGGTGCTTGCCTGCACCCTCTAGCAAATTAAGAAATAAAATCTAAAATTTCAGTCGCCTTGATAATCCTTATGTCTCTTTTAGACTATATTCTTTCTCCTATCACTTTTCATTTAAAATGTTTACTTATTGTCTATCCTCCATCCTCTAAAAGAGAACCTCCTTTAGGGTAAGGATTTTTGTCTGTTTTGCCTACTGTGGTGTCCCTAGTCCCCAGAAAAATAGTCGGCACACTAATTCAGTATTTGCTAAATGGAGAAATGAGATTAAGAAGTATCTGGCACCTAGCCAGTGAGATTCCCATAGTTAGTTAAATCCCATCAGTAAGTAAATTTGTGTCACTAAAAACCTGTAACACTACAAGTCCCAGAAAGCCTCGCGACGCACGGTCTTTTGTCCCGCCGCGCCTCCGCGCCCTTAGCGGGCCGAAGCTCCGGAGCTAGAAACTACACCTCCCAGGAAGCGCCTTAAATTGTCGTTGGTTTGTTTCCGGAAATGGGGCCCCAGGAGGGTGGAACTTAAAGCTGGAGACGACAGCTGCAGCTGCCAATTGGTCGGGGTATCAGATTGACGGCTTCACTGACTAATAGAAGCAAAGGATTACGGAAGAGCCCGCCCACAGAAGGGGACGAAGGGAGGTGGCAGCGACGGCGGCGGCGGCAGCAGGACCCTACTCAGGGCGTGGGTCGTCCTCACCCGAAGCTTACCTTTGACCTCTCCCCGCCAGCCTCTGGCCTTTATTCGTGACCCTAGACTCTTTAGGGGGCTCCTCTGATCCAGGTAGCCAGACCCCGGACCAGAACCATGTTCCCCGTGAAGGTGAAAGTGGAGAAATCAGGTGAGGACCCCGAGATTGGGGACCTGAAGGGGATAAATTTGTGTCACTAAAAACCTGTAACACTACAAGTCCCAGAAAGCCTCGCGACGCACGGTCTTTTGTCCCGCCGCGCCTCCGCGCCCTTAGCGGGCCGAAGCTCCGGAGCTAGAAACTACACCTCCCAGGAAGCGCCTTAAATTGTCGTTGGTTTGTTTCCGGAAATGGGGCCCCAGGAGGGTGGAACTTAAAGCTGGAGACGACAGCTGCAGCTGCCAATTGGTCGGGGTATCAGATTGACGGCTTCACTGACTAATAGAAGCAAAGGATTACGGAAGAGCCCGCCCACAGAAGGGGACGAAGGGAGGTGGCAGCGACGGCGGCGGCGGCAGCAGGACCCTACTCAGGGCGTGGGTCGTCCTCACCCGAAGCTTACCTTTGACCTCTCCCCGCCAGCCTCTGGCCTTTATTCGTGACCCTAGACTCTTTAGGGGGCTCCTCTGATCCAGGTAGCCAGACCCCGGACCAGAACCATGTTCCCCGTGAAGGTGAAAGTGGAGAAATCAGGTGAGGACCCCGAGATTGGGGACCTGAAGGGGACCACGAGGCTGATCAGAGTATAGGAGTGCGGATAGATGGGATTAGGGCGAAAAGGCGGACTACGTGACCTTCCCCTGCAGCCCATGTAACGATCACGATTTCAGGAGGCATTGGGAGCTTGCTGCCACCTTCATACCCTCCGGGTGTGTGCTCGAAGTAGCGCTGAGATCGAACGGTGGTGGCCCAGGCAGTGTGCAGTAAGACATGGGGATTCCGAGCCAGCGCCCTTTCGGCTCCCGCTCAGGTTCCCCGTTTCCAGAGGGGCATGATCAGACCTGCTGTGAGCCTGAGTACAGGGACTTTCGGCCCTCCGTGTACTCTCTCAACACTCCTAGGAAGTGGGCAGTGAGGGAGATGAAGAAACGAGGCCAGAAAGAGAGCGTTTGGGTCGGTGCAGAGCTGACGGAAACCCAGGACTGGAATGGAAAGGGCGGCAGGAGGAGCAGGGAACCCAGACAAAAAGATAATAGTACAGTGATGTAGGGGGTAGGTGGGATAAGTGCAATAAGAGGACAAGACGGGAGCGGGTAGGGAGATCAGGAGTAGGACAGGATGAGGGAGAGAGCCATGAGGAATCAGAAAAAGGGAATAGCACTGAAAGAGGCCTGGCAGGGAGCCTTGTCTGGCTTGTTCAGGGAACAGTAGGGAGGCCAGCGAGGCTGGAACAGAGTTTGAGGAGTTGGAGGCAAAGAGGTGATCCAGGGGTGGAGAACAGCATTTGTGGACCCGAACGAGGACTTTTGCTCTGAGGGAAATGGGGAATCAAGGGAGGACGTTGAACTAAGGAATGAATTAACCAAGGTGCCTCCAAATGTCAAAAAAGGCTTGTGGGGCAGGGGCCTGACCACAGATGATGGTGAGAAAAGGTGTGGATGGCCTGTAAACAGCAGACTGAGGAGTGCAGACTCCACCCTGGGGAGCGCTGTGGAGTTCTGGAGGGTTCTAAGCAAGGAAGACGGAAGTCCAGTTTGGTTGTTTTAGGAAGATTCCCCTGACCACCTTGCGGAGGGATCAGGAGGGCAGACAGCTGGGAGCCCAGGCAGAGGAAAAGACAGGGCCAGGGTGAGCAAAGTAGGGAGTGGGTGGATGGGAGAGACATTCAGGGGACCAACCGGACAGGCCATGGGCTTGGTGGGCTGCAGTGAGCGAGGGTGAGAGATGTCCTAGGGGTGCCACTCTGGGTGGGGGGTCCTGGAAGAGGAGTAAGTTCAGAGAGATGCTAAGGGGTGTGGGACCCAGGAGCCTGTTGGGGGAGGTACAGGGACAAAGGTGTGGGCATGATCTATATCCTCTGTTCCCACCCAAGGCTCTTTGCTACAATTTCAGCTGTCCCCAGCCCCATCCCTACCTGCCACCCAATCTTTCCTCTGAGTGGTGTTGGGAATCCCTGTGTCTCCTGGTCTCCCTAGGAAGTCCCAGGGCTGGTAAAGCATGTCCCCATGTTCCCTGAGGCTCTGAGCACTTGGATTAGAGCTCCTACTTGTCAGAGGGGGATGTAAACACCCAGAGTGAAAGAAAAATACTTGCGACATCCTCAGTTCCTAAGTTCTGTGAGGAAGGGAGCAAACATGGGCTGACAGGGCCAGTCAGGGCCTGTGCGACACACAGGAAGGTGGGCCTAGACTTCATTTCTTGGGGAAAAAAAAGGCCTAGTGGTATTTTAGGTGAAATCTCCCAGTGTTTAAATGTCACCTCATTTAGGTTTACTCAGATTTAAAATAACACCACTGCCTCAGCCGAAGTAAATAGGTCTGGGGGCCAGATTCTGCACCCATCGTCTCTGCCTTACAACTTCAGCTTTGGAACCAGACAGTCTTGAGTTCAAATCTCCAGTTCTGCAGTCTCTTTTCTGTGTGATTTTGGACAGGTGGCCTAATGTATTCTACCTCAGGTTCATCTCTATTAAATAAGGATAAAAATCTTATTTCCTTCTGGTCCAGCAGGTGGCATTGTGGCTAAGGCAGTGGATCCCAAATGACCGACTCCATGGTTCAACTCCTAAACCCAGTGACCTGAAGAAGAGAATGGAGGAGAAGGGATTGCAGCATAGCCATCCCCCTTGGGAAATGATTTCTCACTTTCCTGATTTCTCCGTCTCTCTCCAGCAAGCACATGCACCCTATGACCCCCAAAAATATATTTTTAAAGGAAATTTTATCTCCCTCCAAGTGTTATTATAATTCAGTGGGTCAGTGTGTGTAATGTGCTTGGAACAGTGCTTAGCCCGTAGTAGGCACTCCATGCTAATTATGATCTTTTTTTTCCTTTTTGAGAGTTTTGTTTTGTTTTTGTTTTGTTTTGTTTTTGCTATAGGGCACGAGCACTTGCCAGACAGAGAGACAGAAAGCAAGAAATCACAATGTTGCAATTCCTTCTCCATTCTCCTCTTGGGCACACATGCACATGTGCCCAGCCTGAGTTTTTTGTTTTTTGGGGTTTTTTTTCTTTTTCTTTTTTTTTTTTTGAAAGGTTTTTGCTATAGGACAAATAGGCTCGCCAGAAGGACAGAGAAAGACAGAGACAGAAAGCGAGAAATCACCCCCCCCAGGGGGGATGTCCACACCACAGTCCCTTCTCCATTCTCCTCTCGGGATCTTGGGCATGCACGCACATGCGCCCGGGTGGGTTTAAGCCACCGGACCTGGGACTTAAATTGTGGTCGACTACGCGGGAGTCCAGCAACACAGCCATTACGCTAACTGCTGTTCCCCGCCCGGCCTGAGTTTTAAGCCATCAGATCCAGGACTCGAACTTAGTTGACTAGGTAGGAGTCCAGCGACGTAACCATTACGCCATCTGCTGGTCCCACTTATGATCTTTTAAGAGGCTCATATACAGTATAAGTTTATTTACATCTTGCAGCAATTATAGTGTAGAGGTGAGGAGACAGGCTCAGGAAGGTAAGATACTTTGCCATATCTTATGTCACATAGTGAGTGAAGGGAGGAGGGGGGAACAGCCCTGGAACTCAGGCCTTTACTCATTGCTTCAGTAGTCTCTGCCCACTGCACCCTTTCAGCACACCTGGGCCTGACCGCAGGATTGGCCGAGTGGAGAACATGCGTGCTCTCCTCCGGCATGGTCAGCTGCCCACCCAGGTGGAACTGGGACTGACTTCCAGTTGGTACTCCCTCCCCAGAGTTGGAGATGGCCAAAGCCCGGAACCAGCTGGATGCAGTCCTGCAGTGTCTGTTGGAGAAGAGTCACATGGACAGGTTGGGGACCTGCTCCAGCATGGGGTCACAGTGCATGGAACCTGGCAGGATGAACCCTCTTATCTGGGTGGATCTGGGTGGGACCCCAGGGGCTGACTTGGGGAGGAAGGCGTCTCATGGGGAGGCCGCTCACTGCTTTCCCATTCTGGGCCCTCGGAATCCCAGGACAACAATTCTCTTCTGCTCCCAGGGAACGCCTGGATGAGGAAGCTGGGAAAACCCCGTCAGACACCCACAATAAGTAAGTTTTTTTGATGGGGTCTGGATCTGAATCTGTGGCGGGTGAGTTCTTCCTTCATCCAAACCCTAACCACTACCCTGTGCTTCCTCCATCATAGTCCTATCCACCCTGCATGGACAAAGTCCCCATGGCAGAAGAAGCCTGGGTTCCTCCTGGTTGGCACTGAGAACCCCAGGGGTGTGGGTGGGATACTCAAGGGGTAGGTGGGTTCATGTGGAATTTCAGGCTTAATACCAATATGCCCAGGGTGCCTTTTGAGGGAGTTAAGGAGGCATCTGTTCCAGTCAGACTGCTGACATTCTGTCTCTCCCTTCAGGGACTGCTCCATTGCAGCCACTGGCAAAAGGTAAGGTGCAGGGGCCCCAGCCTGCTGAAGAGAGGTTGCCAGGCCCTGCCCTGGGCCTGACACCCCTCACTTCCCACATAGGCCATCTGCCCGCTTTCCCCACCAGCGGAGGAAGAAGAGGAGGGAGATGGATGAGGGGCTGGCTGAGGGAGGGCCACAGCGATCCAGTGAGTAGGCAGTAGTCCTGAAGGGTGGACAAGGGCCAGGGGGTTACATGAAGATATTCACATTGCTCTTCCCGCAACTCCCCAGACACGTACGTGATCAAGCTGTTTGACCGGAGTGTGGACTTGGCCCAGTTCAGCGAGAACACACCGCTGTACCCGATCTGCCGCGCTTGGATGCGCAACAGCCCCTCAGTGCGTGAGCACGAACGCTCTCCCGGCTCTCCGCTGCCCCCTCTGCCTGAGGACGAGGAGGTGGGATGGGTGCCCAGCTTCCAGGGAGGGCCTTGGGTGGGCAGGCTCAAGGGATCTGCCTGCAAGCTAGCAGGGGAGAGGAGCACAGGTTCCTTTGTCCCTCAGATGAATCCTGGATCAGGTGAGGCACAGATGTGCACCCTTAGGCAGGGGCATGAGTGGAAGTCCTTAGGACAGACATGATCACCTGACCTGGGGGAGAGGGAATGGGGTTCCCCTGGGCAGACAGATAAGTCCTCCAATATCAGGGGTCCCCAAGAGCTGAGGGGCCAGACAGGTGTCCTTAGTGCAAACAGGTGTGGCCATCTGGCCTGGGGGAGCAGAAGGTGACCTGCTGTGCTGGACAGGTATAAAATGAGGGTCCATAAGTCATCTGGCCAGAAAAGTAGATGGGGGTTCCCAGGGAAGACATATACAATTCTGGCCGTCAAATATGGTTAGCAATCCCTACAGCAGACCTAGCCCCCTGCATGAAGAATGGTGGAAGTCTCTAGGTGCCATGACCACCTAGGTAGGACCCTCTGGGACAGACAGGCATGACCCCTGGGCTGACAGGTGCAGTTGGGAGTCCCTGGACTAGGCAAGGAAGGATGGGGTCCTTAGTCTGCACAGAGGATGAGTCCCTGGAGACACCTGACGCCCAGCTGTTTAAGGTATCAGCCCTTCCGACATGATTCCTCTAAATGCAAGTCCTTTGGTGAGACCCTCATGTCTCTCGCCAGTGAGAAGGGTAAGAGAGATGGCGTGTATACTCCCGGCCTTCTCACTTGTGGGCCTGTTATGGGGCCCTTATATCTCCAGGGTTCAGAGATCGCCAACAGCAAGAGTCATGATGTGTACAAGTTGCCCCCACCCACAGCCCCTGGACCACCTGGAGATGCCTGCAGGTCCCGCATTCCCTCCCCGCTGCAGCCTGAGACCCAGGGCACCCCTGATGATGAGGTGAGTGTGCAAGGTTGGCCCAGGGCTACAGGGGATACACTACGGGACTTGGGGAATGGCCACCCAGCCCAGCCTCTCTATCTATGTAGCCCTCTGAGCCTGAGCCTTCACCTTCTACCCTCATCTATCGCAACATGCAACGCTGGAAACGCATCCGCCAGAGGTGAGCACCCCCAACCTGCCTCCCCCACAACCTGTTGCAACTGCTGAGCTCTCCCTCTACTTCCCTAGGTGGAAGGAGGCATCTCATCGGAACCAGCTTCGGTACTCAGAAAGCATGAAGATCCTACGGGAGATGTATGAGCGACAGTGATGTTCCCCTGGCCCCCAACCCCAATAAACATTCTTGACTCCACTCTGGGCTCTGCTCCTGCCCATCCTTCCCACCCAGACATAAAGGAGTTGGCACAGTGCTAGCGCATTTATTGGAGTGAGCCTAGGCAGGAGTGGGGGTAGGGCAGCAGGGAATGCAGAGGGAGGAAGGGAATGAAAGAACAGCTGCTCACTTGGACTCTGGAGGGTAAGAGGAGTGTGGATGGTGGGCTTAGGGTAGTGGAGAGTCTGGTCTCCGGCAGGGAGAACAGATTTGGAACCAGGCCTGGATGGTCTGGGGTGCTTGAGGTCTGCGCAGTCTGGGACATTCAGGCACTGTGGATGATTATGCCAGGAGTGGGAGCTGGACTGTCTGCAGCATAAACGTGTCAGACTGGGGGCAGCGATGGAAATAGGATGTGGGTGTGTCTTCATAGAGTTAAAAAAGAGGTAAGTAGGGAGTCCTGAGTGTTGCTGTGTGGCAAGAAACAGGTCGGTGGGCATGAGGCACTGAGGGCTGAGTAGTACTTGTAGGTGTTGTGATGCAGTTGGAGGGGGAGTGTAAGGGGACTGTCAGTGGAAGGGTCTAAATGATCAAGGTTGGATATAGGGTAGAAAGGTCAGGGTAAGATCCCAGACTGGGTGAGAGGACGTCTTGGCGCGCTCGGGACATCTGGCTGGGCGGAGTCAGATCGGCTTTAAAGGGGAACCTGAGGCGGCCCCCAGGGTTCAGGCACGCCTGGACCCCTACTTGGCGGCAGCTGGTGGCGGCAGTGGGGCCTGGGCCGACGCTGGTGCGGCCTGGATGGATAGGACGCCCTCGGGTGACAACGCGGATGTCACGGCTGCAGGGTCCACGCCAGGCGGCAAGCGGTAGCGGCGATGGAACTCGCGCGCGACGAATCCGTGCTCATCCTGAAAGGAGAAGTTTGAGCTCCGCTCCTTCTATAGGTGCCCTGCCCATCCAGATTATGAGTTCCGGCTCCGCCCCTTCGGTCAACCCATCCAGACTACGCAATCCAGCTCCGCCCCTTCCTGCAGGTGCCCCGCCCCCCCGTCGATCCATCCAGACTATGCGACCCGGCCCCGCCCACTGCGGTAGGTGTCCCGCCCCTCCCGTCTGCACCTTCGAGTTGGAGATCTGGCCCCGCCTCTTCCCATAGGTGTCCCGCCCCCCTGGTTTGCCCATCCGAGTACACGATCGGGCCCTCCTAGGTCCTGGGCTCACCGGGCGCTCCTCGTGGCGTGCATGCACCTCCACGTGGTCGCCAACCACCTTGACAGCGATTTCCTCCGGCGAGAAGTGCTTCACATCCAGCAGCACCGAGAAATGGCCGGGGTCGGTCGGCACCTACGCACAATCGGTGCGGGGGCGGGACTGTCAGGGGGCGGGGAGAGGCTCCGGGACCCAGCGTGGCCCCGCCCCTCTGGTCGCTCGGTTCCGGTGCTAGGGCAGACCTTGGCTTCCGAAATTGAGGCGTCCCCTTTCCTATTCCGAGGCTTCGGGGTCAAAATAGATCCTCTTTCCCCTGTAGTCGCTGGAACTCCACTCTCACCTAGAGTGATGAGGCTCCCCCACCTTCACAGGATGGGGAGGCCCGCGCCCTCCCCCAGTGTCGACGACTCTCTGTAGTCCCTCCGCCCCGCTCCCCCCCACTGATTTCCACAGCGCGCCTCCCCGGAGTCCCTGGGCCCCTAGCCCCACCCCGACCAGAAATCGCCAGCGTGCCTCTTTCCGCAGTCTCCAGAGCCCTCTTTCTGCCCTCCCACTCATGTCATAGGTCTCCTGCGCCCTCAGCAGTTACTGGTACCCTCCCCCGACTTCAGAGTGGCCAGCCCCCACCCCAACACACACACCCCTCCAAAACACGTTGGTCACCACACCCAGTCTCCAAAGTCTTTTCTCAAGACTAACAGTACATTCCATATCCTTGGAAGTCACTGCCCCCCCCCCTTTTTCCAGATTCCCTGGGTCACCACCTCTTTCAATCACTAAGACACCATCAGAGTGACCGCTCCCACCCTATTAGTGCCCCAGCACGTCCACCCTCCTCAGAGCTAATGAGACACCCCGGTAGAGCAACGGGGACCTTCCTCCCGCTTCAGTAACCTGGCCTCTGAGATCCCGCACTCGGGGACTCCGAAAGCCCCTGAGTGGCCAGACGCTGGTCCCCACTCGAAGTCGATAGACGTCCCCTCGCCCCCGAGTGACCTAGACCCCTAGCCTTAAAAGTGGACCAATACCCCTCCCCCAGGCCTGGCACCTGGGCGGCAGGCAGCGCCACGCTGGGTGCGCGCAGGTAGTAGGGGGCGAGCGCTGCGGGGCAGAGCGCAGCCAGCTCGGCTTCGAGCAGCCCCTCGCCGAAGCGCTGGTCAAAGAGGCGTCCCGGCGCCGAAATTCCGGGCACCGGGGCTGAGGCGCGGCGTAGCCACGACGGCTGCACAGGCACGGGAATCTCCATCCTGTTCCACCTCCGCAGTGCCCCAGCGAGTGCAGGCGCCGATTTATAGTGCGCCCCGTGCCGGCCTCCGGGGGGCCGCCCGGGGACACTGGGACCTGGGCCAGAACCGGCCATTAGTAGAGCCTTATTTAGAAACCCCAACAATGACTTGGCCATTTATTAAACGCCTACTGGATACCTGGCAAAGACTGCCAGAGAGGTGTCATTAAGATTCCCCTATTTCCGAAGGGGAAAATAAGGCTGAGGGAGGGATGCGGAACCCAGGCCCCAAGAAGCCCTCTGCAGAGCTTCTAGGCCCTTCAATCCGCCCCCGCCTCGCTGGCAGCTCTGAGGATGACGCAGATGGAGGTCTTAGGAGCAGATTCCGAGAGAATGTTGTAGCTGGGCCGGGCTGTCAAGAGGACACAGAACAGACCCTACCCCCATCTCAGTCGGGCCTTGGGCTCAACCCCTTGGCGGGCAGGGCCTAATTTTGTGCCTCTGACTCAGCTTCAGGTGCGCAGCGGCGGGGGGCGCGAGCACGAAGAGTCCGGGCTGGCCCCCCAGGGGCCGCGCGCCGGGGCCCGAAATAGCTCATTTTGATCCCGCTACCTCGGCAAAGAGCCCAGGCTTGGCAATAATTGCAGCCAGCTGCTCCTGCAGCAAGAGGGACATAGTTACATGACCGTGAGGACAGGCTGACCGTCCTGACTGATGGAGAGATGACGGTTAGAAAGGGCACAGACTCTCCGGTCACCCCGGAAACGGGAAGAACGGTAGTTAGACTGGAGACGGGACAAGACTACCGCAGCAATAGGGAAGACGGTTAGAAAACTGGATTGGGAAAGCGAGAGTACTTCAGATCACCTCCTAACCGCAGGCCCAGCCCCAGACCTTTTCCATTGGTCCAGGGCCTTGCCAATTACTTCTGCCACGCTACAGGCTCTCCAATCAAACGTGGCCTCTCAGACAGGCCAGTGTTACAGCCAGTCGTGGGGCATCTCCCTTTGGCCGCTTTTGTTTTCCTCACTATCATTGGTCGCCTCGGAGGCTGCTCTCTTTCTGCGCGGGCGCTCCCAGACGGGGCGGGACTGATAGGACATTGCTAAGCGACAAGGATGCGCGCCGGGTGTGTCCGGTGAAGAGCCGGAGCAGGCAGAAGCGTGAGGCAGTTGTGGGATGGACCGCAGGTGAGACCGATCCCACTTCTAAGGAGTACGGGAGGCCTGGAGAGGACCAGGGATGAGGGTCACACTGACTAGTTGGGGTCCGGAGTCTTTGGGGCTCAATTAGCACCGGAACTACAACTCCCAAGATGCCCCACAGCCTTTGGCCGCTCCGGCCTTGGACTTAATCCCGAAGGTCCCATAAACGCCATATGTATCGCTCTGAGTGACGCCAAGAAGTCTTTTCTCTACGGTTGTTCAAGGGCAGCTCGGAAATTGAGTCTCTTAATTTTGGAGAGTGCCCCATACACTATGGGCGCTGTCTTGGCACTCTCCCGAGTGGGTGGAGCCAAGTGAATCGTGGGGTTTGTAGTTCATCTGCACTTCGCTTCGTGTTCCTAAAGACTTACGGGAAATTTATGGTGATAGGGTCTAGTCGCGGTTCTTAGCCTGAGCTCCACTTGAGAATCACCTGGGACTCTGCAAAACACATATGGGCGCCTAGATCTACTTACACGTATTCACTTTATTAGTCTGGGGCGGGAGTTACTCGCCTGTAATTTTAAAAGGACCCTTCCAGACGGCATCCAGGGTTGAGAACTGCTGGCTACTGGTTTCTGGTTTCTTCTCTTTAAAAGCTGCTGCTGGTCTCCTGGGTCCAGCATCTCAATTGTCACTATCTTGAACGTACAGTTGTGCTTTATGGACATTATAGCCTAGAAATTCTCAGCAATTGTCTGGTTCTGCCCGCATGCTCTGTCTTCCAACCCCATCTTCTCTTGCAGCCTTCCAGTTTTCTCCATCCAAGACAGTTCCTTTGGAGATGCTCCCTTGGGTCAAAGTCACTCCTTGCCATCCCAAAGCCACACTTGGTGCCCGAAGGTGAGGACCCCCCACAGAGAGTGCTGGGCTCCATCCAGCCCAGTAGCAGGGGAGTGACCACTAGAGAGAAGGAAAATATGTGATGACGGATGGAGATGAGAGATGAAGAGAGAGCCCCTCTTCACCTCGCCATAGCCTCACCCTTGTTCAGATCTCTACCACCCGAGTTCCCCATGACAGCCCCAATCAGGGTGTTACCATCACAGGATGCGTTTCCTCCCTTCTGGACTGTGACTTCATGTGTGTTTTCTTTGTCCTACAGGAATGACCCCTCAGGCCTCACTTTTTCTTTTGCTCTCCCCCATCTTAGACACTGAGCCCATCCAGATCCCAGAGATCCAAGCTCCCACAAGTTCCCAAGGCTCAAGCCACAGGTCTCAACTCCCCTGAGCTGCTTGAGGAGTCCTGGTCATCCAGTTCAGGGGCCCTTTCCCCACCCAGTACTACTGAGGTGCAGATGGGGGCCTCCTCACCACTCACCCTGGTTAGCAGTGGGGACTCTGTGGTGGCCAAGTAAGTACAAGCAGCTCCGGAGGGGGAGGTTTGGGTTAGAGGGAGAAAGGCAACATCCCATAATAATCACTTCAGCCAGAGCTATTTATGCTGTGCTCTTTTAGGGCGAGGTATATCGTGTGTGTGTATGTATGTACGTATATATTAGTTTTTGCTATAGGGTGGCTGTGCACACCAGAGACAGAGGAGAGGGTGAGAAATCACCCCCCAGGAGATGGCCATGCCTCAATCCCTTCTCTACTCAAGATTTAGGGATTGTATGCATATATACCTGGTATGACTCTTTAGCTGCTGGGTCCAGGACTCAAACTGTGAAGCTTGACTGTGGGATGCCGCACCTTAATCTCCATGCCACCTGCTGGCCCTATCATGTGTATTATTAAGAGCTCTTGGAATTAGGCTGCCTTGGTTCAAATCCCAGCTCTGGCCCTTATTCCCTGTATGGTCTTGGCTTCAGTTTGCATAGCTGTAAGTCAGGAATATTAATGCACATATCCCGTCCATAGGGCTGCTTAGAGCTTACAGCAATTATTACCGTAAGTAATGATCTATAACAGTGCTGGTCACACAGCACTAGGATTTGTAGGGTACAGGCCCAGCTGCTGTAATGAAGAGTCCCAAAGTAATTACTACCTTAAACAAGGTAGCACCTATTTCTCCCTCACCTAACAGTCTAGGCAGAAGCAACCAGGGCTGACAGGGTAGTCCCTAGTGAGGTGTCAGGGACAGACACAGTTTCTTTCTGTCTTGTTGCTCTCCTGTCCCTTGTTGCACTTTCCTTCATGGACCAGCATGGCTCCCAACCACGTTGACTTTCCAGAACCGTATCTTATACAGAGAAGAGCCTAATCACATGGTCACAAGTTATGAAGGTGCCTAGTAAACGTAGTCTACAGAAGAGTGACTGTGTGCCCAGCTAAAAACTGTGTTACTATCCAATAAAAGAAAACAGATATTGAGGGCCGACTACCAGGCGCTGCCATAGTGCTTGATAAACACTGGCTTTTGTGACTATTATCGTTGTTATACCACACTCTTCTCATACCACACTCCTCCCATCCCCTGGTGCTCCAGGTATATAAACAGGTTCCGCCAGGCTCAACCTACAAGCCGAGAGGATCGTCAACCTGCAGGACCAACCCCAGCTGACTTTTGGTGGCTGCGGCCTGATTCTACAGACCCCAGCGGTCAACTTGCAGCAGGTACGTCCTCAGGTCCCATTCACTCCAGGCCTAAACTCATCAATGCTCCTAGTAGCCAACTTCTCCTGGCCCCCATAACTCAATTGAGGCTTCTTGGCAGGAGCCAACAAACCAGAAGGAAGACCCAGTACAACAGTCCCAACGCCTGTCAAGGTGGCCCCTCTTCAGGAAATAAAGCAGGTGACATTTCCATCCACTTTCTCCCCTTTGTGCCTGACTTCTAAGCAATGAGATAGAATTAGAGCTGATTGCTAATTCAAGGAAGCTTAAACAAAAAGAGGATTTGCTGGCTAATATAATTCAGAAATTCAAAAGTAGATGCTTTCATGCATGGCTATACCCAGTTCTGGCTCCATGTTCCTCTTTGTTGGGTTTGATCTCAGGCGGGCCTTCCCCTCACAACAGCCAAGGTGATTCTTTTTTAAAAAAGAAAAATTTATTTGTTTTTTTTGTTGTTGTTTTGAGAGGTTTTTGCTATAGAGCGCATGCGCTCACCAGAAAGACAGAGACAGAGAGACAGAAAGCAAGAAATCACCCCTCAGGGGGGATGGCCACACCGCAATCCCTTCTCCTCTTGGGATCTTGGGCACACATGCACATGCGCCTGGCATGAGTCTAAGCTACCGGGTCTCGGACTTGAACCACAGTCGACTACATGGGAGTCCAGCAACATAGTCATTATGCCATCTGCTGTTCCCTTATTTGTTATTAATATTATTTTAATTTCCTGCAGGGCACAAAAGAGAGAGAGAGAAAGGAAAAGTGAGAAAGCAAGCCATCAAGTCCAGGACTTGAACCATGTTTGGCCATAGTAGGAGTCCAGCACTTTAACCACCATACCACCTGCTGGCCCCTAACCAAGATGATTCTCAATGACTTTGGGCTCTCATGGTACTGATTCAGTTTCTTCAGTAGAAAGTGGGAGCTTTTCCAGTAGCCCCATCTAAAAACCCAGGACTCAATCTCATTTCCCTATCCTTGAGCCAATCACTGTGAATAAGAGAATGGAATTTTTTTTGAGAGGTTTTTGCCATAGGGCGTGTGCGCTCGCCAGACAGACAGAGAGAGACAGAGAGACAGAAGAGAGGATGGAATGTTTTGATTAGTCGGTCTGCTCTGGAAGATGAGGGTTGGGATCCTTCTCCAACAATAACTTGCATATGAAGGTCTGGATCCAAAGAAGAAAACTGGGTCTCTCTGCCCTTAGGAGAAAGATCAGATTCTAAGTTAGCATGTGAGGATAGAAAGTGGGGTACAGACCTGCACTCCACACTCCAAGCTCTCTTTCTAGAGCTTCTTTCTCAGCAACCTTTGGGGTCGGGGCTGGCCCTGACCCATCTCACCCATAGAGCCTCCACACATGGAACTCCTCCCTCCTGGACCTGGAGACTCTGAGCCTACAAAGCAGAGCTGGCAGGCTGCTCAAACGCAGGTGCCTCCACTCCCCACCTCTCCACCCCCATCATCCTTCCCACTCCCGCAGCTTTGGCCAGCACACTGCCTCTGAGACTTCCATTGCCTCACTTCTTTCTTCTCCCTGCAGCAAGGCCTCCATCTCCTCCTCCTCCACCCTCAGCCCCAGTGATGCCAGTAGCTCCTCATTCCCCATCAACTCTGATGGCCTCTCTCCCTTCTCCACAACCTTCACCTCTGACTCCAGCAAAGACCCTGGCCCCAGGGCACCTGGTAAGTGCAAGGAGGCAAGGACTGAGGCAGCCTGGGTGCAGATCCCAGCTCTGTGAACCAGCTGTATGACTTTGGTTCTTCCTGGGCCTTGTTACCTGCCACTGTAAAACAGGGATAATAACCATACTCCTCTCCTAAGGGTATTGTGAGGATTAAATGAGTCAGTGAATATATGGAAAGCAATTCGCACAGCTAATAATTTTATTTATTTATTTTTAAAGAATTATTTTATTTAACTTTATTTATTTACTTATTTTAATTAGACCAGAGAGGGAGAGAGAGAGAAAGTGAGAAAACAAGCTGCCAGTTTCAGGACTTGAACCATGGTCAGCCATGGGAATTCACCTTTAACCACCACAACACCTGCTGGCCCCTATTATTATTTTTTTTTAATTTGCTATAGGGTATGTGAGCTCACCAGAGAGGGACAGACAGAGAGAGAGATTGTATCCATATTGATTCATTTAATTTAGGGTGAGTGTCACATTTTTTGCTATGTCTATTACACTGAAACATATAAAATTCTCTTAAAGCATTTTTTTTCTTTTTATTTTGGAGAGGTTTTTGCTATAGGGTGCATGCGTTCACCAGAAAGAGAGAGACAGAGAGACAGAAAGCGAGAAAGCCACGCCACAATCCCTTCTCCTCCATTCTTCTCTCAGGATCTTGGGCATGCACGCACATGCGCCTGGTGTGAGTTTAAGCCACCAGGTCCGGGACTCAAACCGCGGTCAACTACATGGGAGTCCGGCGACATAGCCATTACGCTAACTGCTGGCCCCTTAAAGCATTTTTTTGAAGTGTTTATTTCCACGAAGAGACAGCCACCCACCCCCCACAGAGCCCTTACACTGTGATCCACTCCTAGTCTCAGTGGCCAGTCACCCAGTTAGAGCCATAGGAGGGAGCGGAGGGAAGTTGCCAGGGGGAGGGAGAGATCTGGGGTGACAGCCCCCCTTCTCTGTGCAACATCAGATGGTCGGGCCTCTGAGAGGTCATGGTAGCTCCACTGATCATGACTGATGAAATGACATTCTGGGTGGTGGAGATGCTGTCTGCGTCACTGGATTGACTGCAGGCCCTGGCACAGCCCTGTCTTGCTGTGTCTCCAGTACAGAGCTGAGCACTGGGATGGAGCATAAGAAGCAGGTCCTCTGCACTCGTGCCTCAAATATGATTACACCAGGCCCTGTCTTTGTCACTGGAATATGGTAATGGACGACCACAGATCACTGCCTGTGCCTAGCTGGCGTCATGGAGGGAGGAATGAACAACAGATTAGCCAAGAAGTGTAATATTTAGGATATGAAAAGGTGGGAGGTGCTAGAGAAAAAAATGGAACAGGACAGAGGGCAGGGAATGGGAGAGCTGGGGGTTGTCTCAGTTTCGAGTAGGGTAGCCAGCATGGGCCTCACAAAGTAGGTGACATTTGGGCAAAGAACTGAGGGCTGTGAGGAAGCAAACACTACAACACATGAAGGACAAGTATGGAGGCAGAGGGAACCACGAGTTCATAAGCCTCCTTTGCCTTTTACCAGGCAGAGTTAAAGGGTGTGTGTACTTGCCGGAGAGAAGGAGAAACAGAGAAAAATGAGAAAGCACCCCACAGGGGGAATGCCATGCTCTTCTCCTCCAGTCTCCTCTTGGGATTTTGAGTGCACACGTGCACAAATGCCAGCATGCACACACACCTGGTATTTCTTTTTTTATTTTATTTTTTTTAGGAGAGAGGCTTCTTTTGCTTTAGAGTGCATGTGCTTGTGGAGAGACAGAAAGTGGGAAATCACCCCCCAGAGGGGATGGCCACGCCACAATCCCTTCTCTTCCACTCTTCTCTCAGGATTTTGAGCACACATGTGCATGCAACTGTTGTGTTTCCAGCTGCCAGGTCTGGGACTCAAACTATGGTCAACCATAGGAGTCAAGTGCCTTAACTACCACACCACCTTGCCACCTTGCTGGCCCCATATCTGGGATGGTTTTCTTGGAGAGGTTTTTGGTGTAGGGCGCGTGCACTCACCAGACAGAGAGAGACAAAAAGCGAGAAATCACCCCCCAGGGAGGATGGCCATGCCACAATCCCTTCTCTTCCATTCTCCCCTTGGGATCTTGGGCACGCACGCATGCAAACACGCCCGGTATGAGTTTAAGCCTCTGGGTCCGGGACTCTAACCGTGGTCGGCTACATAGAAACCCAGAGACATAGCCATTACGCTAACTGCTGGTCCCCATACCTGGAATGTTTTTAAGTTAGATCCAGCGCTCCCACCCTATGTGGGACCTAGCCATCTTAACCACTGCCACCTGGCTGGCCCCCAGGGGCAGGATCTTAACCAGGATGGCCCTGAACTGACTCAGGTGCCCTCTGGCTGCAAATGGAGAGGAGAGTAGGGAGAGCAGGGAATAGGCTGTGGGTGGTAGTCCGGGTGGGGTGGGTGGGGCTGGACCAGGGTGAGGGGATGGGGATGGGGGAGAAATGGGCAGATTCTGGACAATCTGTCTTGTTCATGGCTGTAATTCCAACATTCAGAACTAAGTGCCTGGCAGTTCCTGAGAGCTCAATGCTTATAGAATGAAGCTTTGAATAATGACAGGTTAAAAGCCAGGAGTGCCCTGTCTGGCTTTGCCCTCTTCCTCCCTTGCCACTCAAGATGAGCTGGGACATTATCTGGAGAGCCTGTCTGAATAACCCTCTGGTAGGGTCATGGGGTGTGTACAGGCCTTTGTCGGGTTGCTGACTACCTTGGCTTAACCTTCTCCTCTCTACTCCCATAGAAAACCCAACAGAGCCACCTGCCCAGGCCCCGACCCCTGCTCCAGCCCCGGCCTCCCGGGCACCACTCCGGCCAGAGGATGACATTCTGTACCAGTGGCGGCAGCGGCGGAAGCTTGAACAGGCTCAAAGAGGAGAGGGTGATGGACCCTGGGTGCCATCCCGAACCTCTGCCCTCACCACTCAGGTGAATTGAGAGAGGGAGGAGCCTAAGGAGGCTGGAGTAAGGAGCCTTAGGGGAGTTGGAAGAGGGAGGAGAGGAGTCTGAGGGAAATTGAGGACCCTCCACCTCATTCTCTCCCTCTCAATCCCTCTTTCTGTTTGCAGACCTTCCCTGCCACTGCAGAGACCTTTGGTTCCCTGGGGACCCGGCCTAACTGCACCCCACTGTGGAGCAGAATGTCCCATCCTGGTTCCCTGGAACCTTTCTATGTGGAGAGGCCTCCTGTTCCCCCAGGGTCCTCTCCACCCATTTTCTGGGCCCCCAGCCCCCATGGGTTCTTCTGGGCCCCACAGTCCAGCCTTTGGGGTCCCTGGGTATCTCCTGGGGCTGTTCTTCCCACACAAGCAGCTCCCACCCCAGCTCCCCCAGCTCCCCCAGCTCCCACCCCAGCACCACCAGCCTCCACCCAAGTTCCCTTAGCCTCCACCCTGGCTCCTCTGGCCTCTACTGCAGCACCCCCAGCTTCTACCCAGGCTCCCTTGGCCTCCACCCCGGCACTCCCTCCTGTTCTTCAGGGCCCTTCCATCCCTGAGCCAGACAGCTCTGCTCAGCCTGAGAGGGTGGGTCATAAGCCTCGGAGGGGCAGGGCCCCACGCAGGGAGGCTGCCAGGCAAGTCACAGCAGCTAGCGAGGAGCCTGACTCCCAGCTCAGGGGTGCTCTAGGCCAGGTAGTGACAGCCCGGCTGTTCCCTGACAGCCTGGAGGACACACCCCCTCACCTTGAAAGCCTTTCTCCACCCATGGCTGAATTTCCAAAAGTCAAGGCCAAGCACCCCCAAACCAAGGTTAAGTCCCCTCATACAGAGGTCACGGCCCCTCTATCTGAATCACAGTGTCTGTCTAAGGCAGAGGCTCGGAAAGCCAAGGCTACACCCCGCCAGAGACCCCAAACAGGATCAGTGCCTGGGAAGGGCAAAACTCCCTCTTCTGAAGCTGGGTATCCACAGCCCAAGGGCTCACCCCCTGTTGCTGAGGAGCTGTCCACTCTAGTCAAGGCCCCACCACCTACGTTAGAGGTGGGGTCGCTGCAGGCTGTGGCCACGCCCTCCCCCACTGCTCACCACACCCCCTCGGAGGACTTACTCTCTCAGGCCGCCCGACTTCTGGAGGCTGCTGAAGGTGAGCGTGGTGCCCGGTGACAGCCTGGCCCCCTAAGCGTTCCGCCCCCTGGACCTCATTCTTCTTCCCCCAGACTCTGATGGCAGCGAGTTCCAGGACGACCCTGTGCTGCAGGTGCTAAGAGCCCAGAGAGCAGAGCTGCGTCAGCAAAAGAGGTAACTCCATCACCAGGATCTGTAACCCTGGGCTTTCCCCACTCCCTTCCCCCCTCACTCCCTTCCCTCCCCCCTTCTTCCTCCTCCCTCCACCCCACCCCCAAATTCTCTGAGACCCCACTATTGGGTGCCCACTCTCCTAAGTCCTTTCCCCAAACTCCTTTCACAGCTCTAGACCCTAATTCTTTTTTTTTTTTTTTTGAGAGAGCTTTTTTGCTATAAGGCATTTGTGCTCACTAGACAGACAGGGACAGAAAGAAAGGGAGAAATCAGCCCCCAGGGGGGATGGCCACACCACAGTCCCTTCTCCTCTCGGGATACTGGGCATGCAGGCACATGTGCCTGGTGTGATTTTTAAGCCACTGCATCAAGTACTTGAGCTGCAGTTGACTACATGGAAGTCCAGCAATATAACCATTACGCCATCTGCTGCGCCCCCTAGACCCTGATTCTAAGCATATGACTCTGCTCGGCTTTTCTCTAGGAACGTGGATGCACGATTATCCCTTCTGTTGGACCATGTGGAAGACCCAGGACCTTGGTTCCCTTCAGCCAGGTCACCCTCCAGGTCCCCAAGGAGGAGGCTGCGGAGGGAAGGAGGCTCTCTTGAAGCCAGGAGACTTTGAATTGTGTAAATTCTATTTTTTCTATTTTTCAGTTTACTAGTTATCTCTGAGAAAGATTCTGGAAAAGCCAAGGGTTATATATTTAAGGAAATGTGCCCACCTCACCATGTGACTCTGCCACACACCCCTGAAGCAAAATCTGTTCAAGGGGCCAGCAGGTGGTGTGGTTAAGAGCTCTGAACTCCCACATGGATGACCATGGTTTAAAGTGCGGGACCTGGTGACTTGCCTTCTCTCTCTCTCTCTCTCTCTCTCACACACACACACACTCTCTCTCTCTTCTCTCTTAAAATAAATAAAGTTAAACAAAATAATTCTTTTTAAAAAATCTGGTTCAAAATCTTATTTGGGGGGGCCAACAGGTGGCATGGTGGTTAAGGGCACTAGACTCCCACATAGCTGATGGTGGTTCAAGTCCCAGACCTGGCGGCTTGCTTTTTCACTTCTTCTCTCTATTTCTCTGTCCCTCTCTGGTCAAGTTAAAAATAAATAAGTGGATACATAAATAAAGTTAAATAAAATATTTTAAAATAATTTTTTGGTTTCATCCTCCTTGGGGTATGTGTGTATGTGCTTGGTGGGGCAGATTCTGACAAGACTTCCAGCAAGACTGACTTACCTGACTCTCAACTCCAGAGCGGAACCTCTTGTCTGATGGGACCAAAGGGATTGTTCTCTGGCCATGAAGCTACTAGGGTCGTCAGAGCATTGGACAGTGATCAGTCCTCAGTCTGTCTGGCTTGTATTCGAAGCAGCATTTGGCACAGCTGATCCCTCCTTCTTGGAAGCACTTCCTTCTCCTGCTTCCAGGACCCTTCTCCCTACCTCCCTGGTCATACCTCCTCTTTGCTCCAGCATGTCAACTGTGGCCTGTCCCAGGGCCATGGCTTTGATTTGTCTACCTACATCCACTCCTGGGTGCTCTTGTCTAACTTACTGGCTTTAAACCTTATCTCTAGTCTGATAGTCCCCAATGTCTGTTTCTAGCCTAGATTTGGCCCCTGGACCTTGGGCTCCTACATCTTGCTCCCTACTTGCCATCTCCACCTAAAGCTCTAAGAGACATCTTAAATCCCATGGGTTCTAAACTGAGCTCTTAATTGTCCTAAATTTGATTCTACTCCTTTCCTTGGCTCCACTCCCACAGCCTCTCAGGCCAAACATCTTTTTTTTTTAAAGAATTATCTAACATTTATTTATTTATTTTTAATTTGACCGGAGAGGGACAGAGTGAGAGTGAGAGAGAGAAAGTAGATTGGAAGTGTATTGTTATAAACCTGTCTGCACATTCTTTGATACAGTTGCCATCAAGAGGTAATCTGTGTCCCTGCCCCTTGTGACTGGCCCCTCCCAACAAACAGAATGCAGAGGAAGTGATGCAACTTAACTTCCTAAGTTCAGTTAGAAAAGATGATAGAGTCTACCTGGTTTCCAATCTTTCTGTCTTATCCCGACCCCAGGGACAGTCGAACAGGTTTCCTGAGGGAAGGAGTGAGAGACGGAGGAAGAAGCAGTGTTACAAAACAGAGACGACACAGTGTTACAACTCTTCAGGGTCTTCAGGGTCATCTGGAGATGATGCAGTATTATGGCTCTTCAGGCTCTTCAGGGTAGTCTGGTGACTGTGGGCCAGGGGTCGTGGTTATATACATGTTGGTGGGCCGTGATTGGTTGTAAAAGGTGTGTTATGATTGGTTGTAAAAAGGTGGGTTATGATTGGTTGCTTTGTGGACCAATCATGAGGTGCTGGTTACACAAATCTGAGGGATTCTAGTGGCCAATCAGAGTATGGTTTTGAAGGTGAGGTTTTGAAGGGAAGCCAATCATGGCTTTTGGCATTGTGTAATTGTTTGCTTTTTGAGAAACTGGCGATATTTGCGGTGCGCAGCCTCCCACACTGTCTTTCTCTCACACACTTGCTTTAGAAGCCACATGAAAGAAACAATTGCTGTGCTGAGGATGGGCTTGAGTGACACAGGTGTGAGCACTTGTCAAACTCAGTGAAAATTGTGAGTTTCGTTGTGTGTAAAGTTTACTGTAAAGAAAAAAATAAACATTGCAAATAAACTGGTCAGGACTAGCAGATGGCATAATGGTTACATTGCTAGATTCCCATGTAGTCAACTGAAGTGCAAGTCCTGGAGCTGGCCACTTAAAACTCACACCAGACACATATACTTGTGTGCCCAAAATCCCTAGAGGAGAATGGAGTAGATGGGATTGCAGCGTTGCCATCTCTCCTGGAGGGGTGATTTTGTGCTTTCTGTCTCTCTGTCTCTATCTCTCTGGTGAGTGTACATGCCCTATCACAAAAATCTCTCTTAAAAAAAAAAAAACTGGTTACAGATATGCATACAGAAATACTAGGGGACAATATACCAATATCTGTGATTTATTTTGAAATACAACCAAAGACAAGTTAGATCGGTGGATGAATAGAGTAATAGGTAGATGTGAGATAAAGCAAATGCAGTAAAATGTTAATGGTAGGATCTACGTAGTAGATATGTGGATATCTACTGTAAACATTTTTCAATCTTTTCTGTTAGAAAGTTTTTATAATAAAATGATGGATCCTGTATGATTAGGGTTGTTTTGCTATCTATACTTAACAAAAAAAAGAAAGGATAAGATGGATTTCTAGCAGTAGCTTCTGTTGGTCACAGACTGGTAAATATTTGCTTTCAGACTTCTTTTTTTTTTTTTGGAGAGGTTTTTGCTATAGGGCACGTGTGCTCGCCAGACAGACAGAGAGAGACAGAGAGACAGAAAGCAAGAAATCACTCCCCGGGGAGATGGTCACGCTGCAATTCCCTCTCCTCCATTCTCCTCTCGGGATCTTGGGCATGCACGCACACATGCGCCTGACGTGAGTTTTAAATCACTGGGTCCAGGACGCGAACCACGGTCGACTACGTGGGAGTCCAGCGACATAGCCATTATGCTAACTGCTGGTTCCCCAGACTTCTTTTTGAAAGGAAAAAAATACATTTAAAAGAGATCAAAAGAAAGTAACTGTATAGATGTAGGGAGAAATAAAAAGAGGTTTAGAGTAGCAGAACCTTATCTAGTTTGGGGGAGGAGTGAGACCTAGAAAGAAGTTACACTTAAGCTGGGACAGGTAGGGATGATTTGCTAGACAAGGGGTTGCCCTAATTGCTATTGGTGGGTAACAAGCCACCCGCAAAATGAAATGGCCATGTTAGGTAATCATTTTAAGGCTAGCCCCTGAGCCAGATGCTACATGGCCAACCATGGTTTGAATCTTGGCCCTGACAGTTTGAAAAAACATGCTAGGTGCATGCCTTAAATCCTGATGGAATGGAGAATTGGAAGACGAGGCATTGTAGTATGACCGACCGTGCCCCACTGGGGGAGGTGGTACTTTCTCCCTCTCCCTTTGTCTATCTGTCTCTCTCAAGTGAGCACACACACCCTCTAGCAATTAAAAAACAAAAACGCCCATGGAGAGGCCGGCAGGTAGCATGCTAGTTAAGGCACTGGCTGACCTTGGTTCAAGTCCTAGACCTGACAGCTTGCTTTCTTATTTTCTCTCTCTCTCTGTCTCTAGTGACTGCACATGCCCTATTGCATATTTTATAATAATAATATATAAAAATTAAATAAAAATTTTTCTTTCAAAACACCCATGGGTTCTGTGAGTCAGAAATCTGGACAGGACACAGTTGAGAATAGTTTGTTTCTGCCCCATGGTGTCTGAGGGTTTATCTGGGAAGACCAAAGGTGACTGGACAGCTGCAGGATGGAATCATCTAGAACTTCACTCACATGCTGCCACCAGGGATAAGACAGTTCAAAGGCTGAGCTCAGCTGAGACTGTCGGCTGTAATGCCTATACAGTCTCTCCGCTGGCTGGATTTCCTCTAAATATGGCTGGGGCGGCAAATTACACTTCTCACACGATGCCGCATGGCTCGATAGTTAGTCATTCTGGTGGACAAGGAAGAAGCTGCCTTGCCTTTTACCATCTAGCTTTGGAAGTCCCAGTGTCAGCTCCACTATTCTCAACAAGAGCTCTTCAAAGAGTTCGTGGAAGTATGTATTAGGAAGAAATTACGTATGGATTTCCAAATTTTTGCATCAAATAAACATGTATTTTAATTCTACTTGCCATCAGTTTTTGAAGCCTTCCTCATATTGGTTGAAGCTGTCACAGTGCTGCCCGATTCATGGGGAAAGGCATAGATTCCACCTCTTGAGGAGATGAGTGCCAAGGAACTTGAAGCTGTATATTAAAACAGCCACATTGGTTGATGAGGGAGATCCATAAGGCAGAGGGAACATCATATTGGAAATTCCTGTGATGGAAGTGAGGTCAGCAGGTTCAATAACCTGAAATAAGCTCTAAATGGAATTTTCCCCTAACACTCCTTTTCTCCAATCTCTGTTAAATTTTTCTCCAAAGAACTGATCATCTTCTTTGTTTTAGAAAGATTTTTGCCACTCTTTTCCAGCTATCGTGGTGTGAAGCACCATGAGCAGCAAAGTCTCTCGCGACACCCTGTACTAGGCGGTCTGGGAAGTCCTGCACGGGAACCAGTACAAGCACTGGACATTTTTGGAAATGGTGGAGCTGCAGATCAGCTTGAAGAACTGTGACCCTGTAAACATTTTTCAATCTTTTCTGTTAGAAAGTTTTCATAATAAAATGATGGAGCCTGTATGATCAGAAGGACAAGCACTTCTCGGGCACCGTCAGGCTTAAGTCCACTCCCTGCCCCAAGTTTTCCGTGTGTGTCCTGGGGGACCAGCAGTACTGCAACAAGGCCAAGGCTGTGGACATCCCCCACATGGACATCGAGGCGCTGAAGAAACTCAACAAGAATAAGAAGCTGGTCAAGAAGCTGGCCAAGAAGAATGATGCCTTTTTGGCCTCAGAGTCCCTGATAAAGCAGATTCCATGAATCCTGGGCCCAGGTCTAAACAAGGCCTGTAAATTCTCTTCCCTGCTGACACACAATGAGAACATGGTGGCCAAAGTCGATGAGGTGAAGTCCATAATCAAGTTCCAGATGGAAAGGTGCTGTGTCTAGCTGTGGCCATTGGCCATGTTAAGATGACAGATGATGAGCTTGTGTACAACATCCACTTAGCTGTTAACTTCCTGGTGTCATTACGAACGTCCGGGCTTTATACATCAAGAGCCCCATGGGCAAGCTCCAGCGTCTGTATTAAAGAACATCTTAATAATAAATTCTAGTGCCACTAAAAAAAAAAAAAAAAAAAAAAAAAAAAAAATTTTTTCCATAGAAAGAAAAAAAGATTTTTGCCATAGGACACATGTGCTCACCCAACAGAGAGACAGAAACAAGAAATCACTCCTCTCCTCCATTCTCTCAGGATTTTGGACACATATGCCCAATATGAATTTCAAGCCACCAAGTACAGGACTTGAACTTTCGTCAGCCATGTGGGAGTCCAACACCTTAACCATTAGGCCACCTGCTGGCTCCCTGATCATCTTCTATCTGATATTTAAAAATAGTAATTTTGGGAGCAGCAGTTGGCATAATGGCTATATCTCTGGACTCCCACGTAGTCGACTGCAGTTTGAGTCCTGGACCCAGTGGCTTAAACTCACGCCTGCATGCCCAAGATTCCGAGAAGAGAATGGAGAAGGGATTGCAGCATAGCCATCCCCCCTGGGGGGGTGATTTCTTGCTTTCTATCTCTGTCTCTGTCTTTCTGGCAAGCGCACATGCCCTATAGCAAAAACCTCTCAAAAAAAAAAACACATAAAAATATTAATTTTGTTCATCGTCTGCCTTCTTCACTAGGTTTTGAATTCCTATGTAGATAGGGTATGTTTCCCCCTGTTTCGATTACCGATGTAGCCACAAATCCAGTGAGCATAGTTTTTGAATGAATGAACAAAGGAAGTACCCTGTGAGGTGAGGCCCCGTCAAGGGAATGACCGGTGAGAGTTCTTTTAGAAAAAGTATTGTTACAGATTTTTTTCTGAGCCTGGCTCAGTCAATGGCAGGAATGATTAGGATTAATTTTATGGAGGACACAACTACGTTCTGGCATTCCGGGCTAAACCTTTTCCTAGGGGAAACTAGTCAAAGCTGGAGGCCTGCCTGTAACAAGCAGTAGAAGCGGAGACACAGAACAGGCCCCGTGGGTAGGGCGAGGCCAAGTCCCGGAGAACCCTAATACCCCAGGCTGTGTTCTGAGTACGTCCAAGGGCGGAGCGGCCTCAGCATTCGGTGGGCGGGGTGAGGGTCGGCCTGACGAGGTGCGACTGGAAGACCGGGACGTGGAAAAACCGCTTGAGGAATGGAGCAAAAGCCCTGAGGCTGTGGGAGAATCAGTTACGAACGTCAGAGGAGTGGTCGCCGACGTCGGCTAAGAAGAAGGTCCATTCGCGTTGGAAGTGTCGGGAGCCGAGCATAAAGCATAAAGAACCCGGGGGTGTGTCTCAGGAGGAGGATGACAGCCAATGAAAAGCAGTCACAGGCGTGGCGCTGTCAAACTTCGGGGGCGGGACCCGGGAGACGCCAAGCCAGAGATGGGGCCCAAGGCGAAGCCAATGAAAAGCCAGCAGATGGGCGGGGCGTCGTCCTAAGGCCAAGGTTGGAGCCAATGAGAAGACGAGCCGCGTCTCTGCTACCCACCCCCACCCCCGTGGGGCGCGCGCCGGAGCCTTGGGCAGCCGTTAGGGGCGGGGCCTGCCGCCCCCCGCGCGCCGCTCGCGGCCCCCCCCT